AAAAAAAAAAAAACCCAACAACAAAAAATACCCACCTATTTTATCCCACGAAATGTTTCCAAGTTTGTATGTGGATTTTTCTTTCAGGATGTAGAATCATTGATGGAAAAGCACAGTATCTTAGAAAAAGACTTTCTAAAAGAAAAAGAGCAAGAAACCATTTCCTTTCAAGATAGATACAAAGAACTGCAGGTAGGCCCAATAGGTTTAAAGTTTAAAATACAGATGGAGCATGTACTATAATTTCAAAAATTACTCAACAAATATAGATGAATACTCTGATATTCTATTCTGTTTTTCTGAATTGTACTTTTTACATCTGACAAACTGTATTTACGTATTACTTGCCTGGATGATCTTAATAGTAATAAGTGGCTTCCACATTGTGTTTCTCCCTAGTGAATTTTTAGTTTAGCATGCAAAGTAGTATTTTAAAGTATACATCAGACTAGATCCTAACATTAATTCCCATTCTCTTTCTAACGTAAATCTTCTGACTCCTCTGTCTTCTTCAGTTTAGCCCTGATATTAACGTACACCAACCATCACAGTAGGATCTAGGTGAATAGCTGAGTTTGTGGGGCAGGGCATTCCCTAGGTGTAGGAAGGGTTTGGTCTATGATCTACTTATCTTCTCTCTCTCCCTGGAAAGATACACACTCCAGGTAAACAGCAAAACTTGAAAATATGGAAAAAGGTGAAAAGTATGTCTTTTCATTGTTGACTAGGGGATCATTATTTACTAGACTTACCAGTAGTTCTATTTCAAATATACTTTACTTGACATACTATTTGCTCTTGATTAAAGTCTCATATGTAGTAGAGTTATTTAATATTTTATGGATTTTTTTCCCAAAACAAAAATAATGTCTGTATTTTCATAGATAGCATCAGAGAATATAGTATATTTTCTGTGGGGCATTAACCATTTTTGACTATAATTTCACACTCTAACATTTCACTATTAAATTTCTTGCATGGGTGTCTGTTCTTCAGATATTCTTTAAACGAGGCTTAATATCAGATTCACACAGTCTCAGAGATTCATGAGTAGAAAAACCCTTGGTTCGTGTTCAATTTATTTAAGTCACTTAGCAAGTTCTTGAGAATTAAATTTTTAACAGATCTCACTAATCCTTTGTTTCCTTATGTGTTTGTTCAAATGCTGCCTTCTTGTGGAGGCTTTCCCTGACATTGCTACATAAATTATGACCTGATATACATGCTCAATATTCTCTAACCCCCTTTCTTTGCCTACTGTTATTATTTTTTTTTAACACTTAGCACTTGTTATTTTATTGTGGTTTCTTTTTTGTTTTCTCCTCACCAGCGTGTCAGCTCCATGAGATTAGGAACTTCCTTAGTGCTTAAAGCAGTAGCTGGCATATATGAGTACTCAGGTAGTACTTTGTTATGAATCCTGATCCCCAGGAGTTAGTTACATTGTGTAGCTACTTCTGTGGTTCCTGTGCTTAGAATTATGGTGCTCCTTAAATAGCACAGTGCTAAATATTGAGAAAACCTTGTGTTTTTGTCTGCATTGACTGACTCATGCTGATCTTAGTGAAATATGTTGAAAATAGTAGCAGCGTGCCTTAGAGGCTAAGATTTGACATATATAACACATTGAACTTTTTACAGTAAAAATCTCCATAAATTCCCTGTGGTATTATCATCATGGTTTCACTTCTTTTACTGCATATGAATAGTGATAATCTAAGACTTATGACTTGACTCTTCAAGACTAATACTCAACTGAAAATGCTCTTCCTTTTATAGAAAACTTTTTATAGCTAATTTTACTTTAATACCAGCCTCTGCCCTTCTTTTCATTGCATATAAGTGAAAGAGTAAACTATGGAGTATTTTATCACATCAGCAAAGAAGGTTTCTGTTTTAGTTACATTTCTTGTTGCTAAGACAAAATATCCACCACCTAAAGTTAAAGAGGAAAGGTTATTTGACTCCCAGTTTATAGAGTTTATAGAAATTTATTTCACAGTTGGCTGTTTCTAAGGCAGGGTGGCATGGCAGAGAGGCATTGCTGAGGAGAAACAGTTCATTGCAGGCAGAAAGCAGAAGGCAGCAAGCAGCAAGCTACAGGTGACAAACAGAGACCCTCTTTCCATCCCTTGTATCTTATCCAGGCTACCCACCCTTAGGGGACCACTCACACCCAGGCTGCCTTAATGCTAGCATTCATCATTTGTCAGTTCTGGCATCACATGCTTGATCCCAGCAACACATATCCTGTGTCCAACCACCTCTGAAGAGGTGCAGCTATGGCCACATGAGGCATTTTGGGGACATCTAGGCACAAGCTGTAACAGTTTCATGGCCAAATTAAACTCAGAACAGATGCACTATTTACCTTCTATATCAAGACAATGTCTCTATGTGAAGTACTGTTTTTGTTGTTGTTATAATTCTACTAGTCCTTAAATTTCTGGGTACTTTTTGTTTTTCCAGTTTCTCTATGTTCTTCATACTGGAAAATTTCTATTCTCTCTTTCTTCTGTCCTGTTTAGCTTTGCCAAGTATGTATTTTTATTTGGTTATTGTTTTTCATTTTATTGTTCATACCTTCTGTTTGTTTATAGAAACTTTCTATAATGTTTGCTTCGACCATGTTCCTACTTGCTTATTAAAGTATTTTTATCATTTGCTTTAAAGTCCTTCAGATAATTTTAACACCAGTGCTACTTGGGGGTGCTGTCTTTTGGTAGTGTTTTTTTATTCAAGTTATGATCTTACTCATGCCTGGTATGATGAGTGATTGATTGGACTCTCTGGGTATTTTGGATGCTTTTTAAGTCTTGTATTTTAGCGGGCCTCTCAATACTGCAGTCTAGGGAAAGGTGGAGACCACTTTTGTTATTATTGGGAATAGGTAAAATTCCAAGATCCCTGTTCAGTCCCCTTTGACACCCGGCAAGTGAAATACCTGCTTACTCCTGGGAGAAGATGGAATTTGGGGTTATTAAGGTTTAGACCTCCTGTGTGCAGTGGGACTTTGAGGGAGTGATGTGATCAATGGATAGGTGACTATGTGTTAGGAGTGGGCCTGATTGGAAGAGGTGGTTCTGGGGGATGTGGCATGGAAGGGTGTGTCTTCCTCTTGGACCCCCTCTTCTTTCTCTCTGCTTCCTGACTCTGTGTGATGACCAGCTGTCCTCCACTCATCCCCTTCCACAGTGCCTTTTCTGTCTTGTAACTTTCTGGTCCTGGACTGAAAACCTAGGCCAAAATAACTTCCTCCTAACTTTAAGCTGTGGGTGTTGGGTGTTTTTGTTCCAGCAACAAAACAATGACTAAGACAGTTGTCCAAGCTTTTTAATTGTACTTATAAGTAGCAGGGAAAGTATATTTCTTTGATTTTAGTCTGGAAGTCAACTAGAAATCACAATTTTAAATTTAATTTTTATAACTGCATCAGGAAATTGATTTCAATTTAAGAAAACATTAATTTAAAGCATATAACTTTGAGTCAGTTTTTTTTAAGGAAATGAAAGCTTAAGCTGTTGTTGCAGTAGAAGAATGGTGAGCAAAAGAAAGGATGTTGACTCAGTGGGGTGTGGTGTTGCATGCCTGTTATACTAGCACTCTAGGAGGCTGAGCCAGAGGATTGCAAGTTCAAATCCTATGACCTAGTGAGACTTTGTCTAAGAATAAAAAAAAAAATTAAAAGAAGAATGAGTAGTTTAGTCCTTGGATGACTCTAGGTTCTACCACTCCTCCAATAAAAAAA